TCACATCCCCTACCTGCAATAACAACCAAAACAGAATTCCCCTCGTCCTCATGTACCACCCCACCGACCTCCGAATCCAATGCATCATCCTCCGGCACTTCTGCCATCTGCAATCTGACCCCACTACCAAAGACATTTTTCCCTCCCCACCCTTACCTGCTTTCCAGAGGGACCACTCTCTCCGTGACTCCCTTGTCTGCTCCACACTCCCCACCAGCCCCACCACCCCCGGCACTTTTCCCTGCAACCGGAGCAAGTGCTACACATGCCCCTACACCTCCCCTCTCACCCCCATCCCAGGCCCTAAGAAGACCTTCCACATCAAACAGATGTTCACCTGCACATCTGCTAATGTGGTATACTGCATCCGCTGTTCCCGATGTGGCCTCCTCTACATCGGGGAAACTAAGCGGAGGCTTGGGGACTGCTTTGTGGAACACTTACACTCGGTTTGCAACAAACAACTACACCTCCCAGTCACGAACCATTTCAACTCCCCCTCCCACTCCTTGGACGACATGTCCATCCTGGGCCTCCTGCATTGCCACAATGATGCCACCCGAAGGCTGCAGGAACAGCACTCATATTGCACTTGGGAACCCTGCAGCCCAAGCGTATCAATGTGGACTTCACAAGCTTCACCATCTCCCCTCCCCCAACCGCATCCCAAAACCAGCCCAGCTCGTCCCCGCCCCCCTAACCATTCCTCCCACTTCAAGCCCCACCCCCATCTCCTACCCACTAACCTCATCCTGCCTCCTTGACCTGTCCATCCTCCCTGGACTGACCTATCCCCGCCCTAACTCCCCACCTACATTCACCTTTACTGGCTCCATCCCCGCCTCTTTGACCTATCTGTCTCCTCTCCACCTATCTGCTCCTTTATCCATCTTTTATCCACCTCCCCCTCTCTCCCTATTTATTTCAGAATTCCCTTCCGCTCCCCCATTTCTGAAGAAGGGTCTCAACCTGAAACATCAGCTTTTCTGTTCCTCTGATGCTGCTTGGCCTGCTGTGTTCATCCCCGCCTGCTGTGTTCATCCAGCTCTACACCTTGTTATTAAGAAATGCATCTGTGCAAGGTAGATTGGTGAAGATGAGATCAAGTACATTCTTTCTGTTTGACTTCCTTACCACTTGTCACAGATCTGCCATAGCAGCTATGTTGTTTAGAAGTTGGGGACCTAACACATTGTCAACAACATTGCAGAAGGCACTGATTTAGAATGGCAAATAACATGTCTCACAATTGTAGTTTCAAAAAAGTGTCTGTCAAGGTGATGCTGATGCAACATGTTAATTGATATTTTATATATTTTACATATTAGTTTCACCATATACTTGTAATCAATGAAAAAAAAATTTCTTGTATAAATAGCATTCATTAGCGCATATACACAGGGTTGGATGTTAAACAATTTTGTGCTAATCAAACTGAGTAACCAAAGCAACATCATACAAAGTAAGCCGTCAAAATCTCTTAGTACTAGTTTTATTTGTTCAAAAATTTATTTTAGCCATACCATGTTGACTTTCTTTCTGTCAGAGAAAAAACACTTATTGTCACCTCCTTTGCAAAAATTACATTCTAAGTGCATATTTTGGCCTGTAAAATCCTCATTAGAGATGGACAATTATTTTGTTATTATTAAAATTTTAATAGTCATAAAAATATTATGTTCTAAAACCCCACATTAATATCATGAATAGTTAGCAATCAATCTCTTTCTTCATTAAACTCTTTTACTGCTCTTAGCCGTCAATAACTTTGTTTCTCCAGGGGGATCAGAAAAGAAATCCTCATTTGAACATACAGAGCTTCATCTAAATTCATCATTAATGTCATCTTTGCACCACCTGTAGTGCTTTGACTACTTTCATCATATTTTTGTCCATCAGTGAGCCAGTTCCTACCTCCTATCACTGCCAGCTGAACACAAACCAGTATGGCACTAAAACTGGTTTTTGATTAGTATGGAGACCTCTCAGGATTCAACACCATTGTTCAGTTTTCCAAAATAATTTTTATTGTTGAAAAAGCTTTCAGACATGCAAATGGTTCATACTGTTCAAGAGGGGAGTGGGCAAGGTGAGGACCTCATGACAGGCAACATCTGAAGGATAAATTAATTTTTGTTATTATTCTTGCATGGGATTTTGGCATTGCTGGCCAGACCAACATTTGCTGCCATTCCTACTTACCCTTGATCTCAATGAATTTCTTGGCCATTTCACAGGGTAATTAAGAGTCAATGACATTGTAGTCACTTGTAGGCTGGAGCAGGAAAGAATGGTAGATTTCCTTCCCTAAAAGTAAGGAAAGGATATCAGTGAACCAGATGAGCTTTTATGACAATTTACAAGTTGCATGGTCACAACTGGTCTAGCTTTTATTTCCAGATTTTAGTGAGTTCAAAGTTCACCATCAGACATAGTGGGAAAGGAAACATTACTGGGGGTGAAGTACAGGGCTCCAAACAAACAGCATTTTTTGGAAAAGAACGCAAGAAGAAATAAAGTACAAATGATAAAGGGGCCACTATAATCACAGCAATTTTATCTGCTTACAAACTAGTAAAAATCAGATTATTACTAGTAGATGAGTTCATAGAATTTTTTAAAGACGCTTTCTTGGAAAACAACATGTTCTGTAACAGACCAAAGAGCAGGTCATTATTAGCTTTGGTATTGTGTAATGTGACAGGATAAATCAATTATCTCAATGAAAGGCATCCCTAGTTAGCAGTGACCACAATATGATTAAATTTTATAGTTTGAAAGGGAGAAGATTGGGATGAAGACTATTATTTTAAACATAAACAAGGGCTTGCTATTATGTGGACATGAAAGCTGAATTAGCTGAAGTGAACTCGCATATGAGGCACACTTCAAAAAGGAGGACCTACCAGCTGTAGTTAACTAAAGAAGTTAAGGAAATCATACAGCTGCAAAATAATGAGTGGCAAGTCAGATGATTGACAGAAAATGATTCAACAGTTAATCAGGAGGATCAAGTTAGAATATGGGGGAAGCAAGTTAGGAATGGTGAGCAAGAGCTTCTACGAATATTTGTAAAGGAAAAGAGTAACTAAAATGAGTACTCGTTCCTCTAGAGAGTGAGAATGGGGAGACAAGAGTAGATAAAAGGAAAGTATGGATGAAATTCAAAAATATATTGCCTTCACAATGAAGGATACAACAATAATTCCAGTAATAGCTGTAACCAAGAGGTAGAAGGAAGAGGAAAAAAATAGTGAAATTACAATCATATGAGAAGCAGGACTGATCAAACTAATGGAGCTGCGAACTGGCAAGTCTCTGGTTTTGGATAGCCTTCATTCTAGGGTCTTAGAGGTTGCTGATGAGCTAGTTAAGTGTTGTTAATTTTCTAAAAATCTCTTGATTTAGGAAAGATTCCATCAGACTGGAATGCAGCAAATATAACTCCTCTACTTAAGACTTGTGGGAGGCTGAAAACAGGAAACTGTAGGTCAGTAAGCATGATGCGTGTAATGGGGATAGTGTTAGAATAAATTAAGAGATTACAGTGTTACACTTAAAAAAAGCAATCAAGGAGAGTTAGCATGGTTTCATCAAAGGGATTTGTGTTTATTGAAGTCCTTTGAAGAAACAAAATGCACTGTGGATAAACAGAAACCTGCGGATGTACTGTACTTGGATTTCCAAAAGCTATTTGATAAGATCACTGCAGAAACTAAGAGTTCATGGTACAGGTGTGACATGTTAGTACGGATTGAACTATGATTCACAGAAAACAGAGTAAACCTAAATGGGTCTTTATGTGATTGGCAGGATGTGATGAGTGGAGTCCTGCAGGGGTCTGTTCTGGAACCTCAACTTCTTAGATTTACATCAGTGTCTTGGATAAGGAGAGTGAAGGCATGGTAGTTAAACCTGCAGATGACACAAAGGTAAGCAGGAAAGTATGTTGTGAAAAAAGACAAAGGAGGTTGAGTGGGCAGAATTCTGACAGAATATAATGTGGGAAAATGTGACATTGTTAAGTTTAGCAGGAAGAATGGAAAAGTGGAGGATTACTTAAATGGAGAACAACCCTGGAATTCTGAGGTGCAGAGTGATTTAGATGAGCCAGTGCGTGAGTCACAAAATGTTAGTCTAAGTTACTACACAATAAAACGTTAATGGATGAGATCCATTATTATGAGAAGAATTGAATATGAAAATTAGGACATTGTGCTTCAGTTATACGGGGTATTGGTGAGACCACATCGTAAAGACCATGTGCAATTTTGGTCTCCTTATTTAGGAAAGAATGTAAATGCATTGGAGCAAGCTCAGAGGAGGTTCTCTAGCTTGTTACTTGAAATGAATGGATTGTCTTATGAAGATAAGTTGGTTTAATTTGGCCAGGCTGGGTTTGTTTACACTGGAGCTTAGAGGAGTTAGGAGTGACTTCATTGATGTGCATGAGATCCTAAATGATCTTGACAAGGTGAACATAAAAAACATGTTTCCTCTTGTGCATCAGTCCAGTCTAGGCTGCACAGTATTAAAAAGTAAAGGTCGCCCTTTAAGATAGAGATGAGGAGGATTATTTTTCTTGGAGGGTTGTATAGCTTTGAACCTGTTCATCTCAGACTGTGATGGAGTCAGGGTCATTAAATATTTTTAATACAAAGGTGGTCAGGTCCTTCCTAGGCAAAATAATCAATGGTAATTGGGGGTAAATATGAATGTAAAATTCAAAACACCAACACAGTAGCCATGATCTTATTGAATGACAGATCAGGCTTGAAGAGCTAAATGTCTACTTCTCCTGTTTTACATGTTCATATGACAAAAGGGGTGGAGTAAAAAACATCCTGGAGCAAACAGCCAAGTCATTGGCTTCAGCATTTAAATAGAGTTGGGATGATTCCACATCAAGGAGGTCATGAAAGTAAAGCCCTATGAGGATCTGTTGAAAGAGTTAAAAAATCCCTCATTGTGAAGGACATTTTAAAATTGGTTTACCGATGATGGGTCTCACTGGCAAGGACAAAGTTTGTTGTCAGTCCCTAATTGACCATGAGAAGAGGATCATTATCCATCATCTTAAACACCTTAGTCCATACGGTGATGATGCTCCCAGAGTGCTGTTAAGCAGTAAGTTCCAGGATTTTAACCTATCTATGATGAAAGAATAGTGATAAAATTCCAAGTGAGGGTGATAACGTTACATGGATGGGAGCTTACAAACAGTGGTGACTCCATGTGCCAGCTTCCCTTGTCTGTCTAAGTGATAGTCGTTGTTTATTTGGATGGTGCTCTCAAAATAGCATTGGTGAGTTGCTGCAGTGCAACTTGTAAATGGTACATGTAACAACCATAGTTCATTGGTAATAGAGGGAGTTAATTTTAAAGTGGCACATGGGGAACCAATCGATAGAGTTGTTTTGTTTTGGATGGTGCCAAGGCTCTTGTGTATTGTCAGAGCTGTATTCATTCAAGAAAGTGAAGATTGTTCCATCACACTCTTAGTTTCTTCATTGTAGATCACAAAAAGACTTTGAGGAGTCAGAAAGTGAGTTATTTGCCAAAATGTGCACAGCTTCAGGCCTATTCTAGTAGCTGCAGAGCTGGTCCAGTTAGCTTTCTAGTCAATGTTAATAGTGGGGGAATTCAGAGAACATAATGTTTGAATAAAATCAAAACATTGTGGATGCTAGTGATTTGAAATAAAAACAAAGTTTTGGAGATACTTGAGGTCTGACAGCAGCTGTGGAGAGAGAAACAGTTAACCTTACAAGCCTTATATGATCCTTCTACTCATGTTGGGCCCTGTCATCGTTCTGGCTGGGGATATTTATAGAGCCTGTTCCTTCTGTTTGTTGATTAATTGTACATCACTATTCTAGGTAATGCTCCAGAATATCAAGCAGAAGAAATTTTTGGGGACTCCTTGTTGGAGATGATTGTTGCGTGCACTGGTTTGACTGTTAATTGTTATTGATCAACCCAAGCCTAAATATTGTCTCGGTGTTCTTGCAATTGCCAATTGTTCCATTATCTGGAGTCTGGTGCATTGAAGAAAACTATGTACAATTATCAGTGAATATCTCCAATTCTGACATTATGGAGGGGAGTCACTGGTGGTTATAGGATGGCAGAGGCAAGATGAAGTATCCAGTCAACACCTCTGACTGAAGGTATTTGTAAATGCTTCAGCCTTGTCCCTTGGGCACACATATTGGGCTCCGTCGTCATCGAGGATAGGAGTATTCCTCCCAATAGCTGATTACTTCTACATCACCATTCACAACTGAATGTGGTAGGAGTGTAGGACTTTATTCTAATTTGTTGGTTTTAGGATCACTTCACTCTACCTACTAGTATACTGCATCCACTGTTCAGCAACCATATTATTCTATTTTATAACTTCAATAGACTTGCACCTCCATTGCAGTTCCTTTGCTTTCCTTATTGAAGCTTTCCTTATCGTCACCTGACCTGGTTGTAGTGGCAGAATGAGGGCTATACTAGACCATGAGGTTATTGTTTGGGGATAATTACAATCTGCCTTTGCTCAATGGAGCTTCATGGATGCACAGTTTTTAGTTGCTGGATCTTTTGTGTCTTTCCTATTTAGTACAGTGGTAGTAGTACCCACAATGGAAGGTGCTGTCATTGTGAAATGTAGTGGTTACTCCTACACATAATATTATGGACAGATGGATTTGTGACAGGTTGATTAGTGAGGATGAGATAAATTTACAAGCCCATTCTAGCAGCTGTGACCCTCAGAGTTTGGCCAACTCAGTCTACCATTGTTGCTGCCGAGTCACTTTTTGCAATGGGCATTGAGGAATCCTCCTGGTTGCCGTCTTACCATTGTGCCCTCCACATGATTTACAGCTTGGAAAAGTGTGGGTTCATTACCTGGTGGACGATGATAAGTGATAACCAGCTGCAGATTTCCATGTTTCAATGAAATGAGACTTATGTAGGGTTTGGAGTCAGTGTTGAGGACTTGCAGACTTATTTCCTTCCAACTGTATAAAATGTGCTTCCATCTTGCGGATGGGAAACGGTGGATGATGGAGGAGGTAGGAACATTAGTTGTAAGTTGTGATTCTGAGAGTATAACTGTCAGGCTGTTTTTTAAAAAATTAACCAATGGGGCAGCTGTCCCACTTATAACTCAAGTTCCCAAATATAAAGAAGACTTTGCAGGGTCAACTGGCCTGGGGTGTCTTTGAAAAATCTAATGCCTGGGTCACTCAGACCAAGTCTGCATGATCCTTCACTATCTTATTAGCCTCCTTATTTCCTTGAACAGCCTGAATAACACATTTTGAACAGAAAGACATTACAATCAAACATCAATACCAATAGTCTCTGGAGGCCATTTTTCTGATAACCATTTTCCTGCTGTCAGGGTAATGCAGTTGATTTGGTCACTTATAGCTTTCGATCCTTCAACTTAATTCTGTGAGAAGGAAATAGAATTCAGTATGATCCTGTTTCTTAGTGATGTTCGCAGTAACCATTTTAATCAGCATTTTATTTTTATGACTTATTTTTAGAATTGCTGTTAGTCACTGAGCTCTTGCTGTTTGGCATACTAGTGTGATTTTTAAAAAGGACAATAAGAAAAAGCAGTCTGCATTATACAGCGTTGCAAGCAAGACAGAAACCCAATTCAAAAAGGTCACAATAAAAGGTCAGATTCAGAAAAGTAAACTTGCCAATCAAGTTTGGAGAAGTTATAATGAGGAATAAGGAAATAGCAGAGGCATTATTGACTACATTGTTTCATGGTTGAAGACACAATTAAACTAGTCCTGTTTGCATGTGTTTGGAACATATCCCACCATACCTACCCCATCTATGTACCTATCTAAATGTTTCTTAAATGACAAAATTTTACTCGTTTCCACCACTACCTCTAGCAACCCATTTAAGACACTCACAACCCTCTGCATGAAACAGTTGTCCCTCTGGACCCTTTCGTATCTCTCTCTTCTCACTTTAAACCTATGCTCTCTAATTTTAGACTACCATATCATGGAGAAAAGCTGTTGTAACTTGGTGTAGTACTTGACCACCCTTTATCCATGATCAAACTTTTCCCTTTCTTTGTTCATGCTCCTACAAGTTCAATCTTTGGATTAGCCCTTTAAGGACGCCAGTTAAGATTGTGTTATGTGTTCTATACCAGACCTGAAACCATACATTTGATGCTAAATCCGAACGTAATATTAGAACTAGATACCTGCTGACATATGTGTTCAACACCTCTCCAGGGCAGTTAGGGGTTGGAATTAAATGCTAGCCTAGCTAGTGACACCCACATCGAGTGAACGTACTTTTAAAGTGCTGAAAATTCTGAATAGGTCAGACTACCTCTGTGGTGAGATAAACAGAGCTATCGTTCCACATTTCAATCTCTTATCCATTGTGTGGACTGCACACCAGCTGTGCTTAAATGAATGCTATGTTGGATTTCCGGGGCAACGGCAAAAAGATACCGATGCAGTTTCGGAAAGTGACAGCTACACTTCCTTTCCTGCTAGTATGATATTTGAAAATGCTTTTTTTTTTCTGTTCTCTGTGCGGAGATGCAACGGGGCAGTCTTATGTACAAACAGAAAGCAACCAGGTCTGTGCAGGCCAAATCCTTTGAATTCTGGGAATCTAGCATCATAGTTGAATCAAGAAGAAAGCAACAAATGAACATTCAAACAGTGCAACAGGCAATGGTGTAATGCCAAAGAACAAAAGTAGCCAAAAAAACCATCAGAAGGTCAATTAAATTGTTTAATGCTCCCTCTCGTTGCTATGCATTTGGAGAAGTGTTCTTTGCCCCGACCTTTAAAAGTACCGACAGCTGATCTAGTGCCAAGGGTTTAACTTAATTCTGACAGAGCCAAGGAAATGATTTAAACGAGTAATATAAGAAAGCTCGTGCCATGCAGCATCACATGTTTTTTGCATTCCCCAGAGTACCCCACAGAAAGCCCATCGCTCCCACAAATCAAAACTACAGGCAAGCATTCCAGTTTTCTGAACCACGTCGATCGAATGTGCGCCTTGCTGCCAGGGGATGCCAGTGGCTTTCCTTGCCCCGTTTTCCACAACCTATTTCCTATTTTAATGAAATAATCAGACAATTTGTTCTAAATAAGTTAACAAATGAGTTAATAGCAAATAGAAAAACTGCATTTAGACCATTAACCAGTTTGTTTTAAAAAATGCAGTGGAATTTCAACCAGTGGATTTCAAAACTTGATTAATGCTTTGCCTACCCAGTACCTTGCAAGCCAGGTAGCATTTTCAAGAAATGAGCTTTCCAGATTTTTTTACATTTTCAGTAAACATTGTCATGAGTGCTGGATTTGTGTTTGCATGCAATGTGAAGTACTAAAACAAAGAAATGTTTGTGAAGTAGAAACAGCATTAGTCTTTAAAGTGAGAGATAATAAGAACTGCCGATGCTGGAGTCAGAGACAACACAGTGTGGAGCTGGAGGAACACAGCAGGTCAGGCAGCATCAGAAATTTTTGAAGGGTCCCGACCTGAAGCGTCAACTTTCCTGCTCCTCTGACGCTGCCTGGCCTGCCGTGTTCCTGCAGCTCCACACTGTGTTATCTTAGTTTTTCAAGTGTCGTGTTTCTCTATTCTCCAGTTTTGTCATCAGAATGTCCAGAAATCTAAGACAATACACTTTTAAAGTTTTATTTTGAGCAGATTTGAAGTTCGCGTTGTGGATGAGGTTGCAGACTTGCTCGCCGAGCCGGTCTGTTTAATTGCAGACGTTTCGTCACCCTGCTAGCTAACATCGTCAGTGCACCTCTGGTGAAGCATTGGTGTTCCGGGACGGAAACGTTTGCAATCAAACGCACCGGCTCAGCGAGCAAGTCTGCAACCTTGCCATACACTTTCATGTTATTGCATTGGGTTTCCGTTTGTTGTGACAGTAAGGGCAGTTCTTCCATGTCCATGCCATTAAATCCAGCTAAAATACTTCATTCATCAACAGAAGTGTACAACTCAGTTGCACAGAAATGCAGAGAATTAAATCTTTAGGTCGCATGCATTCTTTATTTGGTTAGAATCCTTGATACTGCTGCACAGTAACTAAATAGGTTATGATATGTCTTTTC